TAGGAATTTAATTGTAAGCCATTATCTGGCACCTAAAAAGCAAATTGTCAGGCTAGCAAACATTCCTTGGGATATTTCCGCAATCTTTCGTACAAAGTCCATATTTCCAGGCTGGGTATCCGATAATTGATGTGAAAGAGGATGATACGGGCTATATTCTGACCCAACGACCATCAACAAATAGAACAGATGAAACAGGAACTCCCCACAAATGGGATATCCCTCTTTTCATCCGAAATCCAATGTTATGCTCTAATAAAACGACGATGCCGATCAGATTCTTCAAAAAAGGTATGAAAAAATGGCTTGATTTAAAGTTTTACAGAGCAAAAATTACACCATCCGAAGTTTCTATACTTTTCAATGAGAAAGCCTAATCGGCAGTTTAGAAAAAGCGGAATATCGACTGGAAAAGGCGGAAGTCGGGTCGCCACTAATGCTGAATAATGGATACGGCATGTATCGAGTTAATTATGGAAATAGCAGTCGACAAATCTTGTCAACTGTTCAAAATTCATATGGTGTAAGCCTAAAAAAAAAAAATACGATATTATTGACTAACTAATGGTCAATGATTTTTAGTGCGTTTCCGAGGATGAAAAACTGGTTGTTTTGTATGATTTGAAAAGCGGAAGTGATTTGGCAGTAGCTGAAAAGGCTGGAAAAATGATTGAAGCAAGGAAACCCAAGGGATTTCCACCGGTACAATTATTTTAAAAATTCTATGATTTTTCTAGGAATCCCGGAAGTCTCGACGCTACTGAAAATCCAAAAAAATTGATTTTGCCGACCTAAAGCCATTTTTTAAGACTTAATACAGGGTCTCTGATGACTGATAGTACATTAATTTACCAAGAAAACTTTCAAATTTTCCCTACGGTATTGGAAAGAAAGCCGCCTCCCCCAAAGACCGGACGCTTATTCATTTCCGCGCCATTGTTCCATTCGAAATTTCTTTTAAAAGCGTCGCTATACAACTTTTAGCACTATAGAAAAGCTTGAATACTTTATTGAAAGGGTTTTTCAAAAGGGGGGCTTTTCAAATGGTTGGTATAAAACAGAGGCTTCCAAGCGACTCCGCGAGAAGTATAGTAGCCATGGGACGACTACGGTCACTTCTTCTAGCTGTCATTTTGATACTTCCATCCCTATATTGTTATCATGATGAAGAGCCACTTCCCAAGGGATATTATCCAGAACTTTATACTGCCGAAATAACCGTAAGAATAAAAGTAATGTGTTGATATTTGTTGTGCGAAGGTGGATCCAGATGTTGATGATTCTGTGAATGATATGCCCCCTGTACGACACGTAACAGAACTTGAGAGAGGTCAATTGCTAAAAGGAACAGTGGCTATGGATATCGTCGTAACCGAAGAAATATCGATATTGAAATTTCATTCTGGCATGAGTGTAAACTTGAATGAAGTGTTGATTGATGGAGAACCCGTTTGTTTAGCTTTTGGTATTAAAAGGAAGCCCTTCTTTAGATAAAGACGTTAGACGTTCGGGCGGGTCCAAGGCTAATTATACACAAAAAATTCGCAAAAGGACCTCATCGGATTGTCGTATGTTGCTATTCACTTTTTATTCCGTTGCTCGAAAGCCAACTAAAGTAAACCCTAGTGAAATTCACAAAACGAAACCGTAATTTCGACATAGCTCTTTTCGTTTCACCATACTTTCGTCCTTCATCTGACCATGAGAAATGGTGATTACACACTTTTTCACCTATAAGCAGGGTTGGTCACGCTGGATCCTAATCGGATCCGGTCCGGTCCGGGGGTCGGTCCGGTCCGGTCCGGTCCGAAATTTCCATCCGGACCGGACCGGACCGGACCCGACCTGTCCGGTCCGTGGCGGACCGAGGGGCTTTGATTTGCTAGGAGAAACGGAAATGCAACATGCAAATTCGGAATGCAAAAGAGTGGCGTACCAAAAAATGACGCAATGTGGAATTCGCTTAATCAAAATGTACAAAATTACTCCTCCCGCATTACTTTTTGGCTATATACGCGACGGCTAGTAGCCTAGATGTGGAAAAATATGTCAAATTCTTCGCGAGTGGTATTTTGCATACAAAATTTTCCATATCTGGCTCCTGAATCATGTCCCTTCGTGTACAGAACGGACCGGACCGGTCCGGACCGAAATTCTCGGATCCACTCGGACCGATCCGGACCGGACCGGACCGCGGACCGTCCGCGGACCGGATCCTTTGTGACCAACCCTGCCTACAGGACAGGATGTGTTTTCCAGGTGGAATACGAGACAAAGCGATCTGGTGGGTTGTACCGTATGCAGAAAGAAGACAACACCATGAATTCCGTGTACACAAAAGGCGGAGAATTCGGAACCCATGATTATGTGCCATGTTTGAATGATCCTGACCGCAAGGTGACCGCAGCTTTTACCTTTTTTTTCTTTTTACTCCAAATCTTATATGTAGGCGAAATGGAAAGTGTCGATTGAATATCCGCCCGGTTATTTCGCCCTATCCAACGGTAAAGTGTCGAGCATTTGACCGGAAGGTTGGTAACAAATAGAAGCCAATATCCTCCTAGTCGTTTCTTCAAAAATGGGACCAAGACCGAATTCGAATTAACGCCAAAGATGTCGCCCCACCTTTTCACATTTCTCATCACCAAATACCCAAAATTTACGAAGATCGCAAAAACTGGGCAAGAGGTCGGCGATTTACAGGGTGGCCCAAAAAAAAAAACAGGTTTGGGCGCGTTTATCTCGAGAACCTTAACGAATCCATGGTGGGTTGATGGCTGAAAACCATTTTCTCGGCCTGGAAAAGAAATTAAACACAACTTGATTTTTTCGATTTTTGGCGACGTATCAATACAAATGACACCCGAAAACTGTGCGTTCGGGGAAGTTTAATTTGTATTTTTCTCAGCCGCCTGTGGCAGGGGATTTCTAATTTTTGCTGTGTAAAATCTTGTAGGCATTAGATACTTACATGCAAAATTTTGGAATTTTTGAAGGTCAGGTTGGCAAGTTATAGCGTGCTCAAATTTAATATGGAGAAATTTCGTAAATTTCGAATATTACAAAAACCTATGGTGGAAACCTCAGAACAAGCTGTTTTCCCGTCTATCGGCTCGATACAATCCCGCAAAAATATCAAAAAAAATTTTCAGATCCGCGGATTTTTGAGTTTTTCGACGACCCCCTGGTCATGGATTTTTTCGAGGTCACGAAACTGAACTTTGGAAAAATATTTCTAAAATTGCAGATAGAATTTCGGGGTTTGCTTTTGCTTGGTTGTGTAGGACTGGGGAACATCTATCATGTACACAATTTCTAGCTACCGTACCCATTTGGAAGGCTGCTTTTTAGCGCCTCCAAAACGGTTGGTTCTTGCTATTTGGCAGACCTTGGCGCCAATCTATAATTCAATTGCACGGCTAGAATTATTGTCATAATTTTATTTGATATTACTTAATTCGCGCATTCTAAAATTATATTTACAAATTTATTGGGCCATCCAATCTCTCAAAAGAAATTCATGAAGAGCCCAAATATACCCGAATTCGAGGCAACGTAAAAAAATTCTCGAGGGTTTAGTAGCCCCGACTTTTCTGGCATAGACCAAGCTTGGGTAATCAACTAGAACCCATGCAAATACAAAGCCTTTTCATGGCAAACGAACTTAGAAGTGCGCCCCAAAGTCGGCTTTTCAAAAACGTTATTTACGGGTTTTAAATCAAAATTAACCATTAACTTCAGCCAGATCATTCCAGAATTTTGCTTTCATACACAGTTCGATGCGTGCTTTAATTGTATCCACTAAACCCCGGTGCCATTTTCATTTTTAAAAATTCGGTTTTCGAGCCAGGGCGTCGGGTCCAAAATCGGGGCCCGAGGGGGGTTTTCCTCTTTCCCTGATAACTTTGTCATTTGCCACAGGAATCAAATAATTTTTTGTAGGTGCTCTTACAATCACCCAGTGAACAGTCTAAAGTCGAAAAATTGGCACTTTATGGAATTTTGTCTTGGCATGCTAAAACGCGCTCCAGGCGGGTTACGGTAGAAAACAGAAAATCGTCGTTTTCTCGTTCTTTTCACCATAGAAACGTTTCGATCTTTTGGGAAAACAAATAATAGTAGTTTTTGGTCCGATGCATCGAAGTATTTAGAAATTTCCGTGGCTAAATTAAAAATAAGTTTTTTGCATATTTTGGGAAGGTATACAGGGTGCGGCAAAAGTATTGTCGCAACCTTCCGCCGACTGTATCTGCGAGGAAATTTGACAGATATTCTAGCCAAAAATTTATTTTATGCAGTTTTTAATGCTTTATCCGATGATAAGATTTACTGCCAGAATTTTTGCTTTGTTTTGTCGCTAGGACAACTTTTTCCAAAAACCCGGCAAATTCAAGCCTAAAAACGGCTTTTTAGACGCTCTCTAGGTGGCCAAGGAATGGTATCTACGCCAAGCTTCTTATTTAATTTGAAAGAGCATGTAAAACTCTGCCTGCGAAACCATCAACCAAAGAATGTTGCGGCTCTTTTTTTGAAGGAACCCTATTCAAAGAAGAGGCAAACCCAGTGCGCCGCCCATGGCCGCCTCGTATGCAAAAAGCGAGATTGTGTCGTCTGCAAAACAATGATAGCCTTGCTAATTTTTCTCTGGTTGATCAATGCTACTTTTTATATATTCCCGAAGTTTGAGCCCAGTAATCCTGACCTGGTTCGAAAACACAAGCTTACATGACTGCTTGCAAATGCATAATAAATTTTTCAAACCAGAGGTGGATAGCTATCAGGATTTAGCGCATCATGCACATTAAAATAAGCAAACAGGCGGCTTATTAGTATAATGTTACGTTATCCCCTGAGAGCCCCCTTTAAAAACTAAAAATCCGAAAAACCCAAGCTTCTCGCGAAACCGGCCAGGTTAGCCCATTTTCCTCAAACATGGCTGAGGCCATAACTCCTTCAAATCACAAAATTATAAGGTTTCCATTTTGGAGGACGGAGAACAAAGAAAATGCTACCAGAAACACATATGAAAAGTCATGGTCCCACGTTGTCTCCGAATTTAAAACCCTATTTTGACGAACTGAGGACGCGGCGCACCGTGATTTTTGGTCGTGTGCATCATGCAATGAAAATCGCTCAAAAATCATGATTCCAAAAAACTTTCAAAAGCAGGTTGCTGCCTTGGACCTGTCTGAAGCCAATCCTGTTGACAAAACTTTGCGATTTTTTGTCGCGAATTAGATATGAAGCAAAAGCTCGCGACAATACTTTTGCCGCACCCTGTATGGCTAGAACTCCACGATCTTTGGCCAATAGGTGACCCTTGCTGGTGTTTACCAATGGAAAAATTTTAAGCAAAATCGCAGCATACGATAAAAAGAAAAACGCGAAAACCAAAACTACAGTATCCCTCTGGGGCACGTTTTAGCAAGCAATATTAAAATACCATGGAATCGGGTGATAAATGGCGTTGGATCAAAGATCATCATTTGGAGACACCATTTGCAAAAGATCAGCCATGGGTAGAGTGAGGGAGGCCAAGGCTAAAGCCTAGGCTTGCCTAGGCTTCCGCAGGCTTTTCTAATTTGCATCGCCTAGGCTGAGCCTGGGCTATGCAAAGTACGCCTGACCTCTAATTAGTCAGGCTTTATCTGGAAATTTTATGTAAAGCCGTATAATATTCGAATTTTTGCCGAACAAATAAGGATTTTTTTGAAACTTCCGGGGACCGAAGAGCTGTATTGGGTCGAAGAATATTCTACAAAGTTAGGGTACTGTTTTTGACAAACCTTACGGCACGATACGTTACTAGCACGCGGATACACAAAAGCCAAGAGGCGGATCAAACGGGCGGGGGATGCAATTGCCTCTCCTGATATCCTGCCTATATGTTTCCCCACCTTCGGCCTCCTTGTAATTTGTTATTGCGACAAAAGATACTAACGTTTTAGATGCAGTAACCAGATTAACATGTTTTCACGCATTGCATAAAAAGCCTGCGTAAATCCTTAGGCTTCCGCCAGGCGTCGGCAGGCGCGGAAATGCAATTCGGCCCAAGAAAGCCTGAGGAGGCCTGCCGCTCCCTCACTCTAGCCATGGGCAGAGAATTTGAAGCGAGTTGTGAATTAAAACGTAAAAAGATGCAAAATAGTGAAATTTGTATTGCTTCTAAAAAATGAAATTGACCTCTATAAATTCTAAGATTTTGCCATTACATTTCTACAAACATCAGCTATTTTTAGGCCAAAAATCAGAATTTTCCCACCACCCGTTCAAGAACGCACAATTTTCGGTCGTAACCAGCGTCAATAGTACAGTTGCGTACTCAAAAATCGAAAAAATCAAGTTGTGTTTTATTTCTTTTCCAGGCCGAGAAAATGGTTTTCAGCCATCAACCCACCATGAATTCATTAAGGTTCTCGAGATAATCGAGCCCAAACCTGTTGTTTTTTTTTTGGGCCACCCTGTATAGTCTTACTGCATAGTTAGCTGCAAAAAAAGGTTGTTTTTAGCTAAACATCTATTCAACGAATCCCTCAAAAGCCGAAGCATTGCTCCAGATGCTAACAGACAGTTTTGATTACCTGGCTACCATTTTTAAACCGGCTTATCCACTCTCAAAACTAGGTACTTTTTTATGATTACACAAACCCAACGACACAACATGAAATGATGCTCTCATTGCAGATATTTTTCTTGAGCCGAGTATTGGGTGGGCAATGGAGCATTGGGGATTGATTGTCTATGGCGGCAATCCGGTTTGTATTCCATAAAATACACTGTCGTTAGAAACATTACGCGAAAATGCCCCTTTCAGGATCGATCAATAATGCAACATCTAGTGGCGCATCAGGTTTTATTCGTTTTCTGCAGTTGTAACCGCATCCAAACAATTAGTGGTTTGGGAATTTGGTGTCTCCATCAGCGTGGAAACATGCATGGTTGAGTGAGGGATTCGCGACATATTGGGAGAAACAAGTCGCAAAAGAGGCCCCAGCAACGGTTCGTGCTAGTTTTTGGAACAATTTTTTGAACGGGGGGCTACGCGAAACGCTGTTTTACCAGATTTCTGTGTGAAAACGCTATGATCCGGAGATTTCGAGATCAGTTCTGAACTCTTCGTTCAATTTTGAATACTTTAGATATTTTAATCACCGAGTTTGGCCTAGGAATAGCCGAGATCGTGTTTTTGCGGTGACCACAGGCAATTTGAAATTTCTGAGCTGCCCGCGCTTTCGGTGTGCAGAGGCCTTCGACGTACGGGTTTCGGGTTTTCGGGCCCTAACTTAAAGGGATGTCGACGGCATAGTCAATCGGTTACGCGCGGAAAAGAAAATGTCTCTGCGCCTCTCCCGTGGGCGCGCTCTCTCCCCTGTTGGCTACTTGCCAATTTGTTGATGAGGGGGGATCGACACATGCCGTCAGCAGCCCTTTAATCTCTGGCGCTTCTTGGTTCCTCTAAAATGTTTTCCCTTAGGGGATCGGTTAAGCTAGACTGCTTGAAAACCTCAGATATGAATTGTTTAGTTCGAACGTGAGCTGTATATCGTGATTGACAATGACCGTGGACTTGTACCAATGGTATTGGAGCCATTCGTAACTTTGCGCGATCTCGAACGCTATCCTTGGCTGCGATACGAGAAAGTATGCTTTTATATAATAACTAAAAATGAAACTGCCGATTAGGGGGCATGCCTTTTGAAAATGATTGAGGGAATGATAGGACAACAGCCATTGATTGATGCTATGAATGTGAGAATATCTCTCACAAATTATTGCCCATTATAATTCCAGAAATACCTCGAAAAGTATCAATATGAAGCCGTCGAAACGAGTCTATTCTTTGATGAGCTACTGTCGGCTTTTGATAAAATCAGGGATAAAATGGATGGGATAAGCATTCAAGAGCTTGGAAAACAATGGACCACGCAGGTATTCGGCCCTTTTTCACAATTCAACTAACCAAAACACAAGTCAATTCTTTCAGCCGGGAATCCCGACCATCAGCGTCAGAAAGGGAAACGGCTCTTTTGTCCTAACCCAAAGCTCTTATTACAAAAGCACTACAAAATGGGATATACCGATATTCTTGTATGATCCGCATTATTGCACCGGTCCGGGAATGAACGAAACGGTCACCTTCCAATTCTTCAAAAAAGGTTTGTTGGTTGATGCCCCTATCCTAGAAGCGAGAAAGGCCCGTGTTTTTTCTGTAACGATTATTTCTCGGCCGTCAGACCGAATTTCGGGCTGATTTTTAGCATTGAGGTCGAGCAACACATCCACTTTAAATGTTTTTCCAAAAGTCCTTCATTTTACGATATTACAAACAAAATAGCGAACAACCCCTGTCCCTTTTGGCCGAAAAAAGTTTTGTGCAAAGGGTATTTCGCGATCCAAATGGAATGTTTCCAGATCGGTTTAGTGAACATGGGCCGCGAAACGGTCGTTTTACACTAGTCATTATTATATTTATATCGGCTGTTTGACAGAAATGACAGAACTTCACGTCGCAACCGGTGCGGAGAATTTAATGAATCTCAATGCTGGCTATGGGCTGTATCGATGGATTATGGAGATATGGCCGATGAAATGATGACATATCTCGAAACGAGACACAACTATCCAGTTAATAATCCATTTTATCATTAACAACAGGAATATCTATGTAGTGTCCACCGGCACACAGGGCACGACATCTTCTATCGGATCTGAAACGAGATAGAAATGGAACAATCGTAAAGAGGGCACTCGATCTACTCAACAACAAACATAAGGAATTCCAGGTGACGAGCAGCGTTAGAAATTGACCTACAAAGCCAACATTTCAAGCGGCAAACCCTGAGGAACACCTCTTATTTTCAGGATTCATTGGTGAAGCCCTTCTTTCGACGTTAGATGCAAACATCATTGTCTTCAGTTTTGTATGCCTAAAACAAACCAGCCATTAGCTTTTAAAGCTTCAAATCCATTTTCTAAAACAAATAAAACTCGATAAATAGGTTTATTCCTTTCATCGTTTCATTGTTATATCACAGAGCATTTGTTGGGAGGGGCGAGTGCAGAGACATAGAGAGAAAGAAGAAGAAAGAACTGGGTAGATCTCAAATTTTCTAAAAATCGTGAATTTTTACTACAGAAGGGGAGGGGCAGGTGAATAAATTGAAGCAAAAGAAAAAGCGCTACAAATACAAGAAAAAAGAATCACGTGGATTGGGGGCACCCGTAGACATGCGGTTGTCTAACAATTCTTACACCAAATTATGTATCAAATGGATTAGCAGAGGGAATTGGGGGAAAGAGAAAGAGATAAATCGTTTAGTAGTGAGAAAATGGGGATGTGGGAGAGCAGGAGAGAGAGAACATCAAAATAGAGAGAAATGAGAGAAAAAGAGCTACAAAATTTGGCCAGCCATCGGAAAATCAGCGTGAAAAAGGCATTGAAGATATGTGGGAATTAGTAAAAGGCACTTTCAATCATCAATATTCTAATTTTGTATTGCACAAAAGAGGGAGGGGGAGCTAGCAGGGGAGCTTGAGGAAAGGGCCAGATAGCAAGAGGAGAATTAGCGGAATCAAGCAAAAGAGGGTGCATTCTTGGTGAGTGAAGATCACTGGGATAGGTATCTTCTTGTTGTAACATCATATATCCCCAAAGAGAAGGTTCTCTTCTCCTTCCCCTCGAAGAGAGAGGAGAAGAAGAATGATGTCGATTCCAGATGAAGAAGAAATAGATGATGGCACCCACACAGGCACAGATGAATAGCATCTCCGCTGGGGATCCACCTGAAAAAGAAGGCATTAAAAAATACAAAATATACATTATAAAAACCTCAAATTTCGTTTAAAAACAACAGAAAATACACATCGTGTTCAAAATACCATAAAATTGCTCAAACTCCTTAAAACACCTAAAATTTAGAAAATGACGACAAATTTGCCTAGAAATTCGTCAAACATGCAAAAGTCATTTCCAAAGCTTTAACATATCTTTCAAGTCTAAAATAGATCCTCAAAGTCTTTTGGAAATGTCTAAAAACGCGTAAAGTATAAAATAAACTTTTCTGAAGCGTTAAAATGCCCTAAAAATTCGCAAAAAACTCATTGAAAACAACAAAATTCAACATTTAAAATAATTTAAATACGCTAAACACTAAATCCCTTATTTGAGAAAAATTATAAGCAAAAAAACTCAAAACCGACCATGCCGAATGTAGAGGATGGGGCCGCTTTGCCGGCAATCTTGGCCTGAGTGTCGCTTTAGTGGGAAGTATCTATAAAAACGGATTAAAAAATCATAGTGCTAAAATTCAATGGAAATCGGATCGATAAAATGGGGGTTTTGACGTGCAGGGGCCCAAAACTACAAAAATATTCCTCTTAAAAAAGTGCTCTTACTAGTATTGATAATTTCCACAAAAACGGCCCGGCGAGCATTACTAGGAAAATCGATAGAAAAGTAATTTTAAAGGCAGTTTCATATCCAACAAAATCCACGGCTTTCTGCCTTTCCGTGTCCTTTAAAAAGCCAATTACTGACCTCATATGGTAGATCATTGCCCTGAGAGCCCAGCTGCACCTTCTTGCCCATCCACTTGCAGCACCGATTGGAATCTAAAAATCACAAAAATTGATTTCGAAAGAATTAAAATGCCTCCTTGATTTAATTAACCTTAAAATTCATTTTTACCAAATTCAAAATTAATCAAGAATCTAATAAAAACCTTAGGAGAGCGTAAAATCTAAAACTCACAAACCAATTTTTAAATTAAAATCTAAAATCAACGATTTGTACGAATTAAAAATCAAGAATACTATTAAAATACTCACTTATTCTCATCCCTCTCAAAATCGAATCCAGCGTGCAAAACAGCTGTAATCCATGCACTCTTGAAGCATTGTGTCCCTGAGCCCTGTTCATCAGCCTTTGGATAGAGAAGGCGAGTCGCTTGAGACTACAACACAACCAATTACGGTAGTAAAAGGCATAGATCATACCTTCAATAGGAGCTCCATTTCTGATTGCAGAATTGTCGACTCTTCTCGGACCATTAGTATAATTGTAGGTACCACCCAGCTTCAGCACTTCTTCCACAGAGAACCAGAATTCCGAGAATCCGAAGAATTGCATGTCTAAAAATTAAATTAATAATTTTTTGGTGTTAATTGACTTCAAAATTAAAATGAACTTGTTTTAATAGCCTTTTAAATGAAATTTAACCCTATTCAAAGTGAAAACTCAATCTCATCAAAAAGTAGAAAAATCGATTAAAATTTTGATCAGAAAATCGGAAAAAGGGCCATTTTGTCGAAAATGTAAAAATTGATAATTAAATCGTTTTAACGAGCGTTTTAACTAAAAGGAAGCATATTTAAGTCGTAAAACGGTTTTAAAAATTCGAAATATGCCAAAAAGCCCAAATTGGGCCGAAAAGCGGTAAGCTTATGACGAAAAATCGATGTTTCGCATTTTTGAGACTGAAAATTTGTCACAACTTTACCTTATTTTTAGTTAAAGAAATTACCAGATAATTTGATATCGGAGCGCGGCGACATTCCCAAAATAGCAGCTGGGCAGGCAATTCGGAGCGGATCCGGGGTCAATCAACGATGACAGCTTCTCCACACAGCTCCCAATCACCCATTCCCTAAATAATGACTTCAATACCGTAATTTGGTCGTAATGTGCTCTTCTGGGTGAATTGATTCCCATCTATTCCTTTGGCCATTTCGACAAGATTTGTTGGCAAGCATTCATCTCTCACGTACGAGCCATTCACCTCGGACATCTCTTTGTACAGATCTTGCTCGTATCTGAAAATAAAGACTACGAATTCAGACTACAAACTACAAAAATTGCTGATTTGATTAAATAAATACTGTTTAAAATTGGAAGGTCAAAGAAAAGAAACAGAAACCTAGAATTAATTTAAACGAGAAAATACATAATATAAAAACTACAAACTACAAAATGACAGACTACAGCCTGCTCCAAAACCCACTTCCTCAACCCCTCATTGACGCCATAGCCCAAGAAGGGTAGTGACGAATAGTTTGTACTTGAAGAGGACTCTCGTCTCGACATCCAAGATTTACCTGCAATGCGAAAAATAAAAAAATAAATCGATGATTCCTTACATTTTCGACATTTTCGGTCAAGAAGCTCGTCGACTGGGGCAACTCGAACGCGATTTGGGCTGATGCGCCACCCATGTCAATCTGAAATTGAAATTATAGGAGCTTTTTCGAGATTGTACCATTCCAACGGTGTCCTTTCGGTTGATCGTCGGTTCACCGCCTTTGGGAAGTCGGGCTTGTCCATTGGAGGGTGGAAACGGCCTAAATAGTTTTATTACGATCTCTGACCCAAAATAAAATTATTTTAATTCCGTTTTTATCGATCAAAACCTTTCAAACATTAAATTATTGTCACAAGCTACTAAAACAACCTTACAAAATCATCTTGAGAACTTTTTAGCTCCAAAGAATCGTATTAAACGCCTGAAAAACAGTTTGCAGAACGGCAAGTTTTGGCATTTTGCTTTCAAAAAGCCAAAAACGTTGCTTAAACGCCTAAAAATAACGGGGGATATAACTATTTTCAAAGCTTAGACTTGCAAAAAATAGATTTCACGGCTCAGAAAATCGCATTAATATTTTTTAGAACGCAAAAAACCCGAACAATCCGGTTAAAAAGTGAATTCGAACTACTTGTAGATACTAGAGGTAGAAAACATCATTGATTTTGGTAGCAAGGTGTTTTCAAATTAACAAGAATGTAATTATGCCGCGATCCAACTGTAGATCCCCTCCCATTTTGCCTCGATCACGCGGATGTGCTCTTTCATTATCTAGAAACAATTTTATACAGCTTTACAGCTCTATAAATACCTACACGACAGTCATTTGCGGGAGCTTGCGTGTGCAGATCCTCGAGAATCGCCTTTTGCTGTCTAAAACCAAAAATAGACGTTGAAAATCACTAAAAACTCACAAATCTGGCACGAGCCTCATTCCCAGCGGTGGCAAGATGAATACAGGGGTGTAAAGGCCTTTTCTCCTCGGGGGATAAACTCGACCGCGTAGTCCATCAGTGGCTTGATGTATTCTGAAACGAAAAATAGGAAAAAGAATAGATATTTATACCGGCGGCGTCGTGAGGGTGATCGGCAAATGTTGAGAGGCCGGGGTACACCTGAAAAGTGCAATTTTACAGTTTAAAAGCTAAATAACACTTTAAAACTAGCAAAACAGGACATATAAGCTTTCAAAAGCTTATCCTACAAAGTTTTAGACAGTAAAACTACGAAAGGTACGTCTGCGTTGTTAGAACGGCGGCAAATAGCTGTGTAATTGAAGCTATAAACGCTCTAGGAAGTAACAGAAAGTTTATTTTACATATTTTGGTTGTAAGACATTAGAAAAACAATTTAAAATGCCAAAGAAAAGCTAATAAAACTCTAAAACTAAGAAAAATAGGTTCTAGACTCATACACACCCTAATTTTCGCAAGCTTAGGACTTGAAAAATGATGAAAATAACGATACAAGCTTCAATAATGCCAAAATAGCTTGATTTTCAAGTTACTAGCCGTAAAAACTCACCTTTTTAACAACAGGCAGCTCGTGATGATCAAGCGCCGGGTTAATATCGATCAACCTTGTATCAGAAGAAGATGTCCAAGTATAGAGAAACATTCGAGTACCCGTTGAGCCCGCATCAAGGATTAGACCGTACGAGAGATCAACGCTGCATGCCTCAAAAGTCATAAATATTAGAGAAGAAGACAATTATGTACTTCTTCTCGTTTAAAAAACTATTAAAGCTTACTTTAACCTATAATCACCTCTATTAAAGAATAATGCAAAGTAAAAAAAGTCAAAAAGCGTGATTTC